CACCTCCGTGAATCCTCCGTAGGTCGTCTGGTAGAACTCGTCTTCCTCCTCCGCCTCCAGCAGCCCCGAGAGCCGGTTCCCTGCCGTGCGCCGCGGAGCTCTGCCCCCCGCCAGGCCCGTCGAGACGGACGCCGCCGACGCCATCTTGGTCTTTTCCCTCCCTCCGATGAAGAGGCCGATCGAGCCTGTCGGCTCTCGACTGCACAGCCTGGGTTTCGCAGGCCCGAGCGGTCAAGGCTGGCGGGCGCGCGAGGAACGGCGAAGCGATCGAGCACCGAGCCGTTGAGGAGGAGAAATGTCAGGCGTCAGCGGTCGAGCGTCGATCGATGGAGTGGCCGTCGAACAGCAGGGGAGGAAATCGAATGCAGTGGAGGTCGATAGGGCGGTCGCTTGCGATTTGCTGGAACGAAACCCAATGGGGAAAGCCCACCTAGATCAGCAAGGCAAACACACCAACATCTGCAAGTCAGTAGCTGTTGGGCCCGGCGGAGTTGCACGATTCCCCGCACGTTGTGGCCTGGCTCACTTGCATAAATGGATATGAAATTTTGTTAACTTTTCGTTTAAGTTAATCATATTATTTGGTTCTTTATTTTGTCTTTATGTCTTCTTGAAACTAGGGAATGTTGGGTTCTAAACGTACAGTACTAAATTAATACTTTAAAAAGTTAGGGATGTTACAAGGAATTCTGTATGTAAAGTGCTGGAATAGATTTAATAATATATCAATATTGACTCACACACAAAAAAAAAAGAGGAGAGAGGCTGGGATCTGCGGAAAACCTAGGCAGCAACATTTGAACGCTCCAGCTAAACTCTGGCTGTCCTTCCTCTAGGTTCATGGGAGAAACAAATACAGGAGACAATGTTCTGCCTTTCATGGTCATGTTCCTAGGGGTGCGTCCCTTAAGGTATGACCCACTTTTAAGAACAAGAATCCTGTGGGACTTTCAAAAGTACAGTACTAAATTAATACTAAAAAGTTAGGGATGTTACAAGGAATTCTGTATGTAAAGTGCTGGAATAGATTTAATAATCTATCAATGTTGATTCACAGTATATAGCAACTGGTGTGTGATATCATTACAGGGCTCTTTTTGTAGAAAAAGCCCAGCAGGAACTCATTAGCATAATAAGCCACACCCAACAGCAGGAACTCATTAGCATATTGGGCCTCACCCCTGACAGCACAGCTCATTAGCACATTAGGCCGCACCCCCATGTTACCAGAAGTGTGGTCATCCAGCCACACCCACCTTTTGCTTGTTATTCTGTTTACCTTGTTTGTTGTCAAAACCCAGGGCCTTCTTTTGTAGCAGGAACTCCTTTGCATGTTAGGCCACACACCCCTAATGTAGCCAATCCCAATGAGTTTCTGCTGTTGGGTGTGGCCTATTATGCTAATGAGTTCCTGCTGGGCGTGGCCAACTTGGGAGCCAGCCGGAACTCCGTTCCTGTGCGTTCCTGCCCAAAAATAGCCCTGTCATTGTAACTTTGTTATTTACAGTTGTATAATCTTTTAATTTTGTAAAGTTAATAAAAATAAAAATTATAAATAAATAAATGAGTCATCTGATTTTTTTAAAAATCACAAGGCTTGGGTTTCATTGTAGCACGTATACTGTCTTGGGCTTCAAAAACTAATTGTAGCCCTTGCCTCCTTAACAAGCGGCCTGTCTCTCACTCTTTGAGGTTTGAAGAGTTAAGGATGCTGTGTGTAGTGCTCACAGATAGAGGGTCTGCCTTCGGGGGTCAGAGAACTGGGGTGCATAAGCTGCAATTCTGTACTTTTTAATTATGCTATTAGCTCATTTGCAGCTAATCAAGCAGGGCTGGTGCAATTTCAGACAGATCAAAGGACATCTGGTAGCCTTTGTAATTCCAGTGGAATTTTTTTAGTTAGTTATTTCATGTACACCCTGCCTTTCTCCCCAAGAGGGACACAAAGAGGCTGACGTTCTCTGCTTCATGAGAATCCTCATAACAACGCTATGAGGTAGGTCAGGCTGCAAGTATGTCACTGGCCGGAGGTCGCCCATCAAGCTACTATGGCAGTGTGGGGATTCGAACCTGGGACCCAGCTCCTAGTCCAAAACCCTAACTACTACACCACGCTGGATCTCTTCTCGTTATGCTTTTCCCTCTCATATTCAGAGATATCAGTGATAGAAGGTGTGACGACCACTTTACTGGGGAGGCCTGGTTTCACTTTAAAAGTGTTCTTTTTATTTTGTTCAACTGGGTATATCCGGCTGCCACCAGGAAATTTAAGGCTTTCCAAACCTTTATACTATAATATTTCTATCACTGGGTAGGTAGGTCGTTTTTTAGGCTTTCATGAGGGTCTATGTGTTTCCTGGGAAGTATTTCTTTCAGAACTGGTCTCTTAAAGTAGATTTATTGATATAATTCATAAATAATATGGTAGAACACTGTAACTAGGAATGGGTAAATACTAAACAATTGCTTTGGTATTTCACACACTTTTCTCTTCACTGTCAGGGATCTTGGCATGTAACTTTGTAACTTTAACTCAAGGTCATGTAAGTTCACTGTTTCTCTCCAGGACATACAGCCTTTCCTAAACTTTGTCTTCAATTACTTTCATTTACATTTTACTATTCTCTCAGAACAACCTCAGCTGTTCTTAACTGTACACACACAAACTGCTTCTCTCTCCAACTTCAGAACTAACTAACTGACTGTTTAACTGTCCTCATCAACTGTCACCCTTCAGCTGTCAAAACCTCAAACTGTCACTCCTGATAGACATACATATTCATCCACACAGCATCACTTCCAAAACCCCTCCCCCTCTCTGTCACTCACCAATCACACCACACTTGCCTCTTCAAGCACTGTAGACTATCACATGCAACCAAACTTTTAAAAAGACACACATCCATAAACAAGGAATCGTTACAGAACGCCTTTAAAACAATGTCCTGGAATATCTTTTTATCTCCCAATCTCCTTTTAAAAAATTTATCTGTTTTACTATTTATTTAACGCATTTCCATGCTGCCTTTCCATCCAAACACCAACAGCAAACATCAGAGCATTGAAGCATTTAATTTATTTATTTTTATTTATTTTGGGATTTTTATTCCGCCCTCCCCAAATGGGCTCAGGGCGGATCGCAACGAATCAAGTCAAAGACTCATTACAATAAAATCACATTAAATTCATTAAAAAAATACAATAAAATTGGTAGCAGCAATTAATTAAATTAAAGGGACATTTAATATATGTAAACGATTCAATAAAAGCATATAAATACACAAACACATCCAGCCTGAGGAACAATGCTGCCTCTAAGCGGTGGAGTCTTGTGAGCAAAAATTCTCCTTTGTGAGCTGCTGGCATTAAAGTTGTGAGCGAGCGATTTAGCTGCTGCATAAATGAGTTTGCTCTGGAGCCCTCCTTCCTGAGCTCAGACAAAAACGTGTGAGCTGGAGGCTAAACTGCCAACAAAAATACGCATGGTCCAAGCAATGGTATTCCCAGTAGTCATGTATGGCTGCGAGAGTTGGACTATAGGAAGGCCGAGCGCCGAAGAATAGATTCTTTTGAACTATGGTGCTGGAGAAGACTCTTGAGAGTCCCTTGGACTGCTAGAAGATCAAATCAGTCAATCCTAAAAGAAATCAACCCCGACTGTTCCCTGGAAGGCCAGAGGCTGAAGCTGAAGCTCAAATACTTTGGCCACCCAATGAGAAGGGAGTACTCCCTGGAGAAGACCCTGATGCTGGGAAAGATTGAAGGTCAAAGAAGACTGGGACGGCAAAGGATGAGATGGTTAGACAGTGTCATAGATGCAACGAACATGAAGCTGAGCAAACTTCAGAGGATGGCGGAAGACCGGAAGGCCTGGCGTGATCTGGTCCGTGGGGTCGCGAAGAGTCGGACTCGACTGTGCGACTGAACAACAACAAGCTCAAACTAACTCAGTTTAGAGGGAACACTGGTAGAAAAATCAAAAGCCTGTGCACTGCTTTGAGTCCTTGTAGCTAGGCCTAATAAATGGTATGACATGGATGGGGGGGGGGGGGTCGGAGCTCCTTGATGACTTCCACATTGGCTGCAGGGCCCAAAGGTGGCAAACGGGGAAAGCATGTGTAGTCTGCTAGTTGACCTTTGCCCCCTGCCTGGGCAGCTGGCCATGGGAAAGCTTCCCTGCATCTCACTTGTATCCTGCTGGACATTAGCATTGTCAGCTGTCGCTGCACATTCCGCTCCTTTAGGTTCTCTCAAGCATAATCATGTTGACAGAAACAGAATGCAGAACAGAACATAAGAAGAGCCCTGCTGGATCAGAACAATAGTCCATCTAGTCCAGCATCCCATCTCACACAGGGGCCAACCAGTTCCTCTGGAGGGCAAACAACAGGGCAGAGGGGCAGAGGCCTTCCCCTGAGAAAAACACAAGAAGAGTCCTGCTGGATCAGACCAGTGAGGATCCATCCAGTCCAGCCTCCTGTCTCACATAGTGGCCAACCAGTTCCTCTAGAGGACCAACAACAGGGTAGAGAGGCCGAGGCCTTCCTCTGAGAAGAGCATCAGAAGAGCCCTGCTGGGTCAGACCAACGAGGGTCCATCCAGTCCAGCCTCCTGTCTCACACAGTGGCTAACCGGTTCCTCTAGAGGACCAACAACAGGGCAGAGAGGCCGAGGCCTTCTCCTCCTGTTGTCTCCTGGCACTGGGAATCAAAGGTAGGGTGTCCCATCCCCGTATATATACTGTGGCCCTAGTTAGGGAAAAATGGTGATTAGCACCAAAAAATCTGTAAGCCGCTCAGAGACCCCTAGATAAGGGGTTCGAGCGGGATATCAAGTTGAATGTATAAATAAATAAAGGCATGTAACAAAGATGGAGTCACGCAGGCTATACAAGACATAAGCAAAACAGATCTGTAGGATAAGGACCTCAGAAGAGCCCTGCTGCATCAGACCAGTAAGGGTCCGTCTAGTCCAGTGTCCTGTCTCATACAGTGGCCAACCAGTTCCCCTGGATGGCCAACAACAGGGCAGAGAGACCAGGCCCTCCCCTGAGAAGAAGCTCAGAAGAACCCTGCTAGATCAGACCATTAAGGGTCCATCTAGTCCAGCATCCTGTCTCACACAGTGGCCAACCAGTTCCCCTGGAGGGCCAACAACAGGGCATAG